CGGTCTCGTGATTCTCGTTGGCGGTGCGATCACACGGAACTCATGAGAAAACAAGTAGAGGCAGACTCAGTAAACCGGACAGGAACGCGCATGAATGAGTAAGTCAGCTGTACACATTCAATTACATAGACATGCTAATACACGTGCCCATTATCCGCACAATGCTCTCAGCTGCAAAACATTTACAAGTGGAGTAAAACTCTCTACGCCAAAATGTTGTGTTTTGTTGCGTATGTGCTCAAACCAAAAAGCGCTCTAACCTACTTCCATATTTTTGCAGCTCACTAAATTTCATTGTTCACTGAATCAACCATGCCTTTGGCTAAAAAGTCTTGTGGGATGATTTCCTACCATCGCTGAGACCCCGAGATGCCTAAATGGGGCTTGAGAGTTTGGACTGGTACTCTCAACTCGATTGACCGATCGCTTTAGTCCATCAGGGACACGTCATAACTTTCGAAAATTCAATTCTATTGTGCGAATACTGAGCGCCACACAAGTGTCGGACGGGACGGTCTTTTTGGAAAGGTGAGTGGCGGGTGCGAATGAGTAATGTGGTTAAAAGTACGTAGGCGAAGTGAGCAAACGGAGGGGGGAATTATATGTGGTCAAGTTAGATTCGGTGACCACTCTACTCATCGTCATTCTAAAACTGGTTACCATAATAAGGTACATGTATTTCAGGGAGCCTAGAGTCGTTCGCACAATGTGCTAACGGGAAGACTTTTGTGTTGTTTCGTATCTCTACATTTTGTGTAAAATCCTAGTTGAGGGATTTCCTCGGTATATGCTATCTCACCCTAAGCTTAGCAACCAGCTAAAACAGCTGTAAATAGTTAGGTCAAAATTGTTCCTGCTGGATTCCCGTAGCCCTCATTGTTGACAGATACCATGACAGCGATAAGATGAATGGAAAAGCTTTTTCGCTCGAAATAGACAGTCCGGAAATCAGAACAATTTTCCCCATTCAATGTATTAATGGAAGCATTTGGGAAAAACCTTAGCTGACAAGTTATCTTCGGCTTAGGTCCACTTACTGCATCAATCAAACAAATGCATTGATAAAGTTCCGGGAATGGGATTGGGCGAAATTCTGATGCACATGTGCACATGGGTGGCAAAGCAGCTAGCTTACTTGATAGAACACCACTAATCTGAACCCTTATGGTGTTCATCTTATTTTCCGCTTGAACGCCCGTTTGCAAACGGTACGAAGTACCGTTCCTACTGAAGCATAGGGAGTGCGGCTCCAACTCAAACCAGCCACAAATCTCTATCGCTGGTGACGAGATTTGTAGTCCGAAGCGCAGTAAGTGCACCCATCACCATCACTGCGACTAAGATTTGATCCCCAAAGCAGCAGATCAGCCATGAGACTCAAACCCACCACCCGAAATGCGGTTCGGGCCTGATTCGATGCCCCATCGGAGATCATGAGCTGGAATACCTAAGTAGTGAGACGGCAGAAGAGTAACAGAGCAGTAACAGAGTACCAGATACCAATGTTTGTGTCCTAGATTCGCGTTTCTGACGGACAACATACGTCAGAGCAGGGGGAATCCAGCATACACATAGGGGGAGCACGGGAATTCAAGGGAATGGACGTGATTGGTGTTCGGGGTTTGAGAACTGATTTCCATGTGGCAGAGGCTGCGACTGAAGACAGACATGCAGAAATTGCTGCTAAGGTCGATGTGTGCCGGACAAAGTTGCCAGTCCTGGTGGTGTGACGGTGGATACTACTGATGAAGCATGCAAGTAGTATGTGGTTTTCTCATAAATCCGCTTCGCGTCTATTGAAAAGTGAGATTCATTACGGACTTTGTGGAATTGCTTTGAAGCATTCTTTCACATCTGAATGGGAGTCAATGAGTATCCAGGAAGATTCAGGAAGATGCCTTTGAGAAGAAGACGGATATTCAGTTTTTATAAAACAAGATGCATATGAGAGATTTGCCTCCCTGTCCAACAGTCTGTAGCTGTTCAGTTGATGTTTTCCTACCAATAACTCCGTAGCGAAGGCCTTCTTCCTTTCAGTGATAGGATATACAAAGAGATAGAGAGTCTACTAGCAGTGGAGTGGCGAAAAGGAATTAGTGAAGGCGTCAGGAGTGACGTAACAGGAAAGCAGAACGCCTATATCCACTAACCGACCTAGCATGAGACCCCGAGGATGTCAAAAGTTAATTCCTCAGTATAGCTCATTGGGACAGAGGAATTCAAAAACTGCGGCAGTTAGTCTCCTCACGACGGGATGTTCACGGATGACAGTGAAGCAAGGCTCCCATTCTAAATCGGGGTCAATGAAGAGCGTTAATTTGGGAACTAGGAATACTAAGAGGTAAACGATGTCAGGACACTCCTTCTGGTAAAGTCAGTGGGGAATTAGTGTATGCAACACTGGCAAAAGCTCATTCGTGATTCACATTGTTGTCCTGTACTTTTCGGACAAAAAGTGCGAATACATCACATACAATCAACAAGTTTCCTGCCTCACTACTTCCGATTTCCACCCATTTACACGTTTTTGGATTCTGCGAAAATCTGGTCACTGAGCGACCGACCAATATCAGCCCGAAATGCTGTAGCTCATTGTTATTGACAAAGTCAAAAAATGCAGTTCTATGCTCGTTCCGAGAATAATGTGGGATCAGTTGGACCAAAGAATTAAACGAACCAAAAAACTCCCGACAGTATCATAAATTCTGGAATGGAAATCTGAACAGTGAAAAATTCCCAGTGTTGAATGGCGAGACGCTCTAAACACCCTTTTTCAAGGACCATGTTTGTAGGGGAATAGTGTTTTTATTTCCAGGTAAAACAAACTAGAAATGGCGGAGAAATTTCAAAGTAATAGCGTTTTGCTGGGTAAGCACTGTTGAGACGACTTGGTACTATGTGGATGTAACCAGTAATGTCGGAGTGTTTTAAGGTCGTTGTATGGGTAGTGAGGGACTTCACAGTTGTTTGGGGTGGGCGCGGGGGGGGGGGGGGGGGGGGGGGGTGATGTCGCTAAGGCAAGGAAAAAATCTCCAGAGGTTTTCCCAATTAAAGAATGGTGAAATGTGGTTACATTGCTCTCTCACTGTGGTACTACATCAAGACAACGACAAGTTTCCAGAACTAGGCCAATCATCAGCACCATATGACATTCCCGCGTATGCGTAATGAACACTGATGCAGAAAATCCTGGAAAAATGCTCGTTGGCGTCACATCACTGGGGCTTTACCAGCTGTCACTTAGAAAGTACAATGGCTGACACACTTTTTATAGGTTGAAAAGTGTGGTCTGGAAATCCTCGAAGAAAATGTCCAACCGCTAGAGGAATTTAGATGCAGCATAGGAGTGGCGAATTGCGATACTATCGCTACGATACAATGAGGGATAAATAGGGACGCAAAGAAAGACTGCATCCACTATGGCTTGAACATTCGTCCCCGTTTTTGAGTTAGTTCACACCAAGGTGGGCTCTTGTGTTGGCTTCATTGGAGCTAATCAGCAGGGTTTATACTCTTGGTCGTGTAAGTATTTGAGATTCGGTCATCTGATACACGGGAAAGGAAGAGGTCCACTACTTGCCACTGTAAGCTGGATGCACAAGAGGGGATAGATGTTAGTGAAATACATTCATTTGCATACCACTTTGGTTTTGATGGGAGACCCACCGAGACTCGGGGACTGCGCCTACCTGGTGAGCCCCAAGAAGGGCCAAACCGGTCGCGGGCTGTCGAAGAGTTTTCAGCAGCCATATGAGTAGTGTGTGTTACGTATGTACATGTATCACGACATCTCGAATAGCGTGCCAACTGAAACACGAGGCGGCCTGGTGCAGCTGCTTAAAAACATCACAAACGAGAGATTCATCCGGGTTCCAAGCGGGTGTCCCGTCAAAACCAAGTTTGTTTGCAAACAAGTGTATTTCGCTAATTTCCTGCAGTTGACGGAAATTCAGAGACTCCGTCCAATGGATGAGCCCGAATTAGAAACGCGAAGCCGGTCGTGGGCTGCCGAAGAGCTTTCAACAGCCTTGTGAGTAGTGCATTACGGATAGATATGATCTTGTTTGGATGATACGAGTAGTATGTCAGAAGTGTCACACGACGGCTGTTCTAAGTGTGATTATTTTCACAAGTCCGAGCTGCACTGACGGTAACCAGCTCGCTTCGCATAATGGATGAAGGGAGTTGAAGTATTCGTACAGTCGAGGAATGGAATTGTTCGTGAGCTCGATTAGGTGCAAAAAACGAGCCTAGTTAGTACAACTATAAGAGCAGTGTTCAAACAAGAGTAGAAACTCAACGGATCCCAAAACTATTCTGAAGCGGAGATCTCACTGCGTATAACACCGAGTCACCGCTAAAGCACATAACACCATAGCAACCTGTATTGCGAGAAAGTGACCGTCTTGCTACAATCCAGTAAAACACGTAGCAAAGGCAAGCTAATTGCTCGTCATAATTATTAGCAGGTATGAAGACTGGGTTAAATGCCAGCACGTAAGATGTGTGATATCAGCTGATCACAAGCTATTTCTATGTGGTACCAACCTCCCGAACAAAATCTCTGTGGTTGTACAACCGTTACGTCCCAACACCAGTGCTAAGTGTTGCTCATACTGATGCCGAACAGTGACACCAGCCGTCCGTGGTGTTAATTCACACTGAAAGTCCAGCGAAAAATCCCAAAGCCCAAAGAAAGCTTGCACGAGATGTATCAGTGGTAGGAACTACTGTTCGAGCCCTGTAACAGTCATGACGGCTCCTATACAAGTAAATTTCACGACCTTTCGCATAATACGTTTTTCGAGGACACGAAGTAGACAAAAAAGCATGGAGTTTCTGATATGCCGCTTTCTTGTTTCGCCGTCGGAAGTTTCTGCCGTTGAGTTGAAGGTCTAGGCTGTTCACTTTTGTTGTCCAAAAGCTAGACAGATATCGCGGCGGTCAACAGTTTCCGGGGAGGGGCTAAAAACACCAAAGCTTCAAATGAATAGAATGTCTTTGAGAATACCGAAAGAACAGACATGGAGAAAAGCAATGGCCTACAAAGTGTTAAAAAGCAATAGTATTTACATATAGAAAACACCACTGGCGTTTAAATAATAAAATGAGATGAGTCAGGCTTGGCGCACAGGGTAGTAGGGAAGAACACGCGCGCGGTTATGCATTCATTCATACAGTGAAAAAAGTGAGGAAGCGTGGCGTAAAAAAGCGCAGGAATTCACGTTTGTGAAGGATGGCCAAGCGATGGGTCGGTGATTATCGGATGGATCACAGAGCAATGACAGAATTCGGTACACCGTTACCGATCACATCGTTGTGTTCCTTCCGGCTATATGGCGATGTTGTCGCCATAACAACACAACTAGAGTACGATAAGTCAGTTAGGTTTGTTGGTGTACCGCTGTCAGAATAGACAAAATCCTCTCCCCTGCCGCCGAATCCTGGGAACACCGGAGTGACCGGAGGCGGCGGTGAGAAGGGACTGAACCAGCGCCACGAGAACGGAGAACCACAAGCCAGTGTTAGTCTTTTCCAACGCGACAGTTGTTCTGACTTAGGACCATTTTTTGTCAAGCTTTCAATACCCTGTGAAAAAAAGAGAAGTGAGAATAGTAATACTGAATACGAAATTGTATTGGTCCGACAATTAGGCGGTGGTAGGCAATGACAAATAGAAAATTTTCACGACAGAGATAGAAACGAGATGGTACACTTGAGAAAACGATGACTACTACAGCTTTTTCGTTCACATTTGAAAGGGCAAGATGGTTCAGTGGTTAGAGCGTGAAGTTTTTGACCGGAAGGTCGCTGGTTCGAACCCGATATCTGCCTCTTGATTTCCCCTGCCTAGGCTTGGGTAACCTGGCAGTAACCCAGCCCTCGTACCTTCTTCGGGTGGTGCGGCCACTAGGCACCGACAGGGTGTTACAGTTAAATGATTTTTTCATTTAAATTCGCGCACTACAGTGTTTCATAGAAAACGCCGAGAAACTGGATGGTATTGTATGTGTATCTAACTGTAGGACTCTGTCCCGAATCCATTGTCCCAGGAACGATTAAAATGTGAGCAATTAGGTCGGTGCGAAACTTCCACCCGAATTATGCCTTCCGAATATCGAGATATACAGTGACAGGTAAAAATGGTGGACACAGATAGGTGAGAACAGTTATCGCTCAGTATGTCAAACGTAAGCAAACGGACGAACGCACCCACATCTTAACTGTGCAGATTGCACATCGTGATCTATCCCATGAACCAGCGTAAATAGCTCTTATTTAATTGGAACATTGACCACTGTGTGGGATGGCTCGAGACGGCTGAGCGGTTAACGTGCGAGCTTAATGACCGGATCCAAAACCGCGGCACCTATCTGTCCAGACTTGGGTAACCAACCCTCGTGCTACATTTGGGTGGCATGGCAGCTAGGAACCGAAGGGGTGTTACAGTTGAACCATTATTATTACTTTGTCGGAGAGTCTGTAAAGACATTACATACGCCTAACTGCTCCGCTGGAGAATGGGTTGGTTGTCCTCCTTCAAAGGTCAACAGAGAGGGGATCCCACATAGTGGTTGCCACATTTTCCCAACGGATCTTGAAACCAACAGTATGGGATGTTGAATGCTCTTCTTTATACTCTATTTTCCTTTCTTAATTGAATGATTTTGTAGTTTTTCGTGCATCCATCATGAGTGATGGTAGAGATTGGCACTAGTGTTGGCTGTTGCGACTATTTAGACCTGACTAGTGGTCACCGCAGAATTCGGGGCAGTATGACGCATACCACAGAGCCCGCTTTCGCTGACCCTCAGCCTCACGCAGACCCGAAGTTGGGAAGGAGGTCATTGGAGATGCATGCACTTTGGACACTGGCCAGAGGACACATCAGTATTGACGCAGAATACAGAACTGTGACGAACACCAGATAGTAGTAGTAACCGCGGTACTGGTCCTAAAATATGTCTGTATAAATACGAAATACTATCAGTGGCAGCAATTCAGAGGGCTGTAGAGTATATGTACAACACCGACCGTGGGGGTCACTTTGTGGCAACCGAGGTAATAGGTCAGTACCTTAAATTAGCATAGGGGACAAGCAAAAACAGATGGAGCAGAAGACGAAAGACCTGTCAGATAAACAACTGAACAGTCACGAATGTACGTAAGCATACCACGAAGGCACGGAATACAGACAGCCCTAGGTGGGTACTGAAACGCAAAAGGTTGCAGTTCGAAGTGTACGCCATATCGTGCACCGCCACACCGCTGGTGTGCACCACAGGCATAAGACAGACAGATCAATAGGGAATCGTAGGCAGTGTAACGATCTTGGATGCGTCCTGGGCAGAGCGACCTGGGACACGTGCTGAGTGGAGTGACCTTGGTCACGTGGCCTGTGACCAGATTGGTAGAAGCTAGAAATCCATTCTGATCGTCCACGTTTGATTCTTAACAAGACCGACCACCCTCCGGGAGCACCGGCCGCCATGGCATCAAATATAAGCAATAACGAACAGGTATAAATGAAGCCGGTAGTGATGATCGCGAGACGTAAGCAGGCAGCTAACCATCTATCGGATAATTCACCAACCGAAGTTCTCACCGGATAGGACAGGAGAAGGAACAATGGGCTACTTAGCAGTAGCCTTTCGATCCCAGTAAGGAATCAAAAATCAAGTTCTGTGCTGACAAGGGTAATCCGGATCTGTATGCATAAATCCTACAGATAGATGGCTCTTGCACTTTTATGAAACGAAATGTCTCTCGTATGAGGCACCGTCCACCTACATCCTCATCTACCGTAATGGGTTTTCTGGTTGCACTACAAGTTTGAAGTGTATTGGCGGTTGGAGATTTTGAAACTTCAATCCAGATTTCGACCTGTAATTGGAACCAACCTGTGCTGAAGAGTCGGCAACCATTTTATAGCTGATTCAACCTTACTGGAAACCGCCAGCGCGATTCGAACCCGCGACCTTCCAGCTATTAGTTGAAAATCAAACCGTTCGGCTACAAGTGGTGACACGCGCGAGGAGCGCACCGCCGATAAGGATGAAACAGCTGTGCAGTGCTTCTTAGCTTCTTCGCACAGATTGTCTTCTCGCTGATGGTTAATAGGTGCTGGTCCATTCTGGGTAGTATGTATCAGAGGTACTTCTGACGTTGAATACTCCTGCATCAAGTGATAGTCGCTTTAGAATAAGTCAGATGGGTACTGAATCTACCTTCACAGTGAAATAAGTATCAGGAAGGTCAGATTCCTGGAAGTAACCTCAGAACGCCCTAGAACTCCACCAAAATCTCAATAGGGAAACCGCAATAAGGAAACCACTCGCAAAGGTTTTGCAGCTAAGAGCATTGTGCGGCCAAATGGGCCCCGTCTGGATCAACGTCAAAAAGTGCCCTTTAAATAGCGCGGGGCCGTTGTAACCTTTGCACTCGCATACACTTGCTTGTTGCAATAAAGCTGTTGTGCACCTTGTCGGCGACTTTTTCAGGCACTAAGGCATTCGAGCGGGGACACCAGTCAGATATAACAATAAGGAACACCAGATAAAAATTAATCTTCCCCGGTGTCAATCTGACCGCTCGCTAAGGGTGTCTGTGGTCGTAAAACATTCATCTGTTATGTGGTCTGATTGGGAAGTGATTCGAGTACTAGTAAAGTCAGATACAAGCAAGTAGTTTTCAAACTTAAGATGTAATTGTCCCGTTATATTGTCAGAGTCCGTTTTTTCCGGAAAGGCAAAACAAAATGTGGCGCCGGAATTGTGAACTTGAAAGTAACTGGGCACAAGCGGGAACCTGACACTCGAGTGGAAACCATATTTCAGGGCGACTTTAACAGGGTTGTGCAAAGATTTGGTAGGGTTTTCACTAGAAAATGACCGTTTCAGACTGAGACGAGGCGTATCGAGAAGGGATGGGTAAATAATGCGGAATCCGATAAGAGTGCTCTGAAGAACGAGATCGAAGCAAAAAAGAACTAACAAACGATGCAAGCTTTCTGATTAACTCGAGAAGCTTGGTTTGACGCAGCAAACGAGGATTATGACAAGGATCACTGAATACAAAAGAAGGACTAACTTTAGCGAGATTCCGCAATTTCTGTATAGTTTTCTAGATGATAAATTCACGTTGGATTACATACTACCCCCCAAGAGAGGTCATCACTAGCAGCGGAAGAAACGTTGTTTTCCTTGCAGCTTGTAACATGGTGGGATAATGCGTGTTTGGCATGCATTTGCCAAATTTGTAGCTCGAAGTGCTTCAGAGATGTCACCTCGGAACCTACTCAAGGTGCAATCCGAATGGTGATTGGGGAGTTATCCATTAAACAGCAAAAGCCCCCCAACGTTTTGTCTTGTAGTAATAAAAAAAAGCAAAACCTTGTGAAATTCCCCCCAATTAGAGGGAGTCATGGTAGCTTGAAAACCATAGCTTAAGAATTGATGTTCCGACTTGATATTAATTTGCTATGAGCAGCGATTACGTCAACGAGCGAGACCTAATGTGTTTAAAATCTTCCCGTGTTGTCCTTAACACGCCGGTAATATCCGGTTCTCGTCTGGTATAGAGTCCCCAATTCTCAACAGATTTTATAACCTACCGTAAAGCCAGACAGCAAATGACCGCGGGAAATTAACTCAACCCCTGAATCTCGTCGAAAAATAGCTTCTTGATGTATTGTAAACTACGCGACCCGGTCGAGTAGACCAGCAAATGAAGATCCCCTTGAAAAGATTCGGACTATTTTAAACTTAGTTTGGTCATACCTGGATGCATATTATGCTCCTAGTGAAAACGATAGCATAAAATGCGTATTGATGTATGGAATTAAGTGTACGTTAGTTTTAATAAAAAAACGTAAAACCTTGTGAAATTCCCCACAATTAGAGGGAGTCATGGTAGCTTGAAAACCATAGCTTAAGAATTGATGTTCCGACTTGATATTAATTTGCTATGAGCAGCGATTACGTCAACGAGCGAGACCTAATGTGTTTAAAATCTTCCCGTGTTGTCCTTAACACGCCGGTAATATCCGGTTCTCGTCTGGTATAGAGTCCCCAATTCTCAACAGATTTTATAACCTACCGTAAAGCCAGACAGCAAATGACCGCGGGAAATTAACTCAACCCCTGAATCTCGTCGAAAAATAGCTTCTTGATGTATTGTAAACTACGCGACCCGGTCGAGTAGACCAGCAAATGAAGATCCCCTTGAAAAGATTCGGACTATTTTAAACTTAGTTTGGTCATACCTGGATGCATATTATGCTCCTAGTGAAAACGATAGCATAAAATGCGTATTGATGTATGGAATTAAGTGTACGTTAGTTTTCACATTCACATCACTTTCTTTCGAACAGTTCTGTTGTCCTGGCGCAAGTGTTCCGGTTAATCTATACCAAGAAGAGAAGCACTGGACTCGGGTTTCGCTCGTTTTAGAACTCATCTGTAGTGCATACACTCGCCCATGCTCGGGCAAATCAATCACAGCTCTCAAGCGCGAACAAGTTCGCCTGTTCAGATGCCGAAATTCAGATGCATCTAATGTACGCTAGTGGAGTGGGGATAACACGCTCGCCTCGCGTGTCAGAAGTCCGGAGCCTGACACGGCTAAGGATGTGTGTGCACTGCTGATGGGCTTTAATTGGAAAGAAACTCGATTCCGATGTTCCACCCTTTGGTGTGGACTCACCAGGACGGTCAGAGGAGTGAGTTGAATTCTTCAAATTCTGCAGGCACCTATGACTACGTGGGTTATACACGAGAAGTAGAAATATGCAACCCTCGAAAGAACGATGCCCTATCCGTAGATGAGTTCACACCGACTGCTGTACAACTGAATTATCCCCACATCGAGTAAAAGGGATTCAAAGGACGATTCGTGGAAGGCCATTCGCGTAACCTATAGAGTCAGTGACAGAATAGAATAATCGAATAAATAAAACAATCGTTTAGCCGTAACACCCTTTCGGTGCCTAGCTGCCATGCCACCCAAAGGAAGCACCAGAGCTGGGACGCTGCCGGGTTGCTCGAGCCTAGACAGGGGAAGTCAAAATGCAGAGGTCGGGTTCGAACCACGGACCTTCCGGTTAGTAAATCTGCGCTTCAACCACTGAGCCACCTAGCCCCAGAATAGATCGATGAAGTTACACACACCGCTACGTATTTGCCAAGCTCAGAAAAAAATGACGAATACAACAAAACTCACGGTTTCGTCATCTGCGATGCTGTACACCTGAGTGATGAACATAATCATCGTGAACAGCCCGAACACGAAGGCTTCGACGATCAGACCCAAGATGAATACACAAGTAACAAATGGACTGAATTCGAAAGCCAACAAATGCGACCATCCGTGGTGACTGGTATTCAACTGACAGGCTGAAAGGTAGGAGAGGAAAATGAGAGCAACAAGTAGCACAAAACCTACAGGGCTCTGTTTTCGCACATACCAAAAATGTCAGTTTAGCCGTAGGACCTGGACAGCCTGCACATCTTTAGATTGGATTACTGGTGTCACTAGGATGATGCTATCTATATGCGTCGGAAAATAAGGGGAAACGTGGGCGAAGAGGCGCGACTGGTCACAAACACGAGGAACACCATTCGGGTTGATGCTATAGTGTCGACCAGGATAGTCAAACTGTAGAGTGCGTTTCGGGATACAGTATTCGTGGTTCATTCTAAAGGCGAATTCAATAAGCCGAGTAGCCGAGTACTTATTGGAGAGGATTAGGGTGAGAATCGCGTTGCAGTCTGTCTGTTGCGGCTAAGCTCCATGCTATCGATAAGTCCAGGTGAAGTGGCTAACATAGGCTTACGTCACGTTAGTTTATTCTATTTTTGGTCGACTGATAGTTTCTCACTAAACAGAGTGCATTTTGTGCGTGTCACTACTTCGAGCGGGCGAGGTGGCTCAAGAACGCGAATTTACTGACCGGAAGGTCCGTGGTTCGAACCCGACCTCTGCCTCTCGACTTCTCCTGCCTAGGCTTGGGCAACCTGGCAGTATCCCAGCCCTCATGCAACATTCGGGTGGCATGGCAGTTAGGCACCGGAAGGGTGCTACAGCTGAATAATCCACTGAATACTTCGAGCCCGAATGCAATAAGAAACTGGTCGCAAACCTTGCATCTCTCCTGGTTACAATGCCGCCACAAAAATTCGCAAGTGCTACTGAAGATAATTGTTGAGGAAAATTGTCACTCACTGTCATCTTTAGTGCATGCTGTTCATTGAATGTCCCCTAGAAATATTCGGAACCCGAATATACAGGCCTCAGTTGCAAAGCGCCTCTGAACTGAACACGAGTATATGCTTTGTAGGTTATTCTAGAGTTTAGCGGATACAAACCGAAGCGCTATTCGGGTGCGAGAATCTCTGAGGTCAATGGGCTTCGCCCCAAGTGCCGATGACCAGAAACGCTACGGTGGTGAGCCACTCCCACGGAGAGTCCACAGTATTGCTCCTTGACAGCAACAATGCGATGTGCGATCCTTCCAAGGAGAGTTCAAATACCCATTTTCCCATGAGAACCCTTCTTTGGGATGTTACTGTATTTTGCCTCTACTGCACGAGGTAACTTTGGGAAGATAGTTTCTCATCGGGCGAGTATCTCCTAAGGAAATCAATGCGACCAGCCCATGGAAAGCTTAAAGGCCGAGACTTCTTGGAGTCACCTAGACCCAAACAGAGATAACCGAAGTTCTGGATGCAACGCCACAGCCTTATCCTCCGCGCTATGTCTAGTCCATAAATGATAGTAACCACTAGTTCAACAAGGTAGTCTAACTAACACAGTCAAAGAACATCTATCCGACCTGAGCAGGATAATTCTACCATGATGGTGTATCTGACGAACTACTAGGCTATCCGAGACAGACGACAAAAGAAAGCAACATTTTGGGGCACGACAAATGCGTGGAACATTACCTTCCCAGTCTGATTCGATGCATTGAACGACAAAGTGAACACACATGTAGATGGCCATTGTAGACTGCAGACAGATGTAAAGCTGAAACAAATAAAATAAAAGTTTGAAAATGGCAGTGCATCCACGCAAGAAATCAACTGAATGCAGGAGGGACAAAAATAACAAAAGTATGGTAAAGCCACTGTAAGGAAAGATCGAGAGAGAGAGAGCAGGTGCCCCATCAAAACTTAATTGATAAGCGCTAACAGAAGGTGGGATTCGGTAAGCTAAATAGTTAAAAGTTGCTATCTCCAAAACTTACAACAGGAATGAAGCGTGCACGTCCCACCCTCTTAACAGCTAGGTCCCAGCACCACACGAGGATCAGCAAATCAAACACGGTCATCAATATAGAAAACTTGAATCTACCTTGTCCACAACGAGTCTTCGTATGAATACAGATTTTTTGCTACACTTTTCCAGAGCTATTTTACCAACAACTGATGGTACTGCGAATGTCCTCTCTTATATCAGCAGTCAGCGAAGAGAAGTACTGCAAAGGCCACTGCAAACAGAACGGTAGATCGGCCAATATACATTACCGGAACGGTTTTGTCTGGTCAGACTCTTCATCCGAGTGGTGTCCATTACTCGTACTTTGATTAGCTTGAGTCAAAGTAACAACTCTAACAGATTCATTTTCATCCGTGTCAATGTTCTTTAATTTGTCTCCCAGAAAAACGGGAATCTAGTAGCTATCGCAGATTGTTCGATAACTGTGATCCACATTTACTAGCGCCACACCTACTGGACGGAGAACTGATCAGGTATATCAACAGGGCAGCGGCATACATACATACATTACGTTAGCGGTATACAAATTGTATATTCTAACTCTCTTTGTGTCCAGTACCAATAAGAATGCTATGTGGAGGCAAAACAAAATGGACCTCCACACCAAGAACAGCTAATGCGTGACCGCCAGTCTCATTGTGAAGGATCTGATGTGGAACAAAGTTGATAACTGACTGCGCCCGGGATCATGGAAGGCTTAGATTTTTCACAGACTGTTGCTCAGACACACAGTGGGTGTCTAATGTCTACGGAAGTCATACGCAGTTACTCATATCACTTCGCAATTTACCAATGCACAAGTTCGACTAACTGTTGAGGCAGCAGCAATCCGGTTGTTGCAAACCACTGTCTGCTTTTTCAATTTCAAACACTCCATTGCTGATTGCACAAGCAGGGCTTATATTGTTCTATTCCTAGCGTTTGACAGCAATGTCGTACTCAGATGTCTTGTTCCGACAATTGGCTATAGTGCGAAAGCTGAACGTTTCAACTTCTGAATACAGACCATTGTGTGCCAGTTGGGTCAGCATAACATCATCCCGCTGGAAAATTTCAAGTCCCACTCAGACCCATAATCCCACCCACGCAATTCAGTGTCATATGCAGATGATGAATAATGGACAGGGAATGCAGAATCATTCTACTCTGGTCCCGAGAATACAGGTCTACATAACGTGCGACAGTAGAGTGCTCTGAAGATTGAAAAATTGCTAGCTCGCGTAAAACAACTAGAGGCATGTGTTACTGCTATTTTGCACGCTTTGTTTTGATAGGAGAGTAGCTAGCCCAAAGTTGATTCATCCTTGTCCGGAGGCGTGAGAGGCTCTTACAAATTTTCAGATAAGAAAACTGAGAAGCTGGAAAAGGTCCTATTAGGAGAGATCGTACTACAGAGGAGGATTATTGTCGACACATTTCAAGCAATGTGCTCCGAATGGTTTTATACTAGGACCAATTGAACCCAGTTTATATCACTGATGCACAAGTAAGGTCTGATTTGTGCTGACCTATCAGGCAACATGACCACAGTGTGTTTATTTCGACTGTTTGCGATCCCCATTAATATGTAGGAAATCTCGGTCATTACAAACGTACGACATCGAATACATCGAATACGAGTGAAGCCGTTTATCCTTGACAATTTGAAGTCGTAGTTATAGAGAGGATGGAGTCATGCAAGCTCTTATGCAGTAGAGTAACGACATAGTGCCTGCCATCCGGGCAAACACTGTAGTTGCAGCATGCTTGCAGAAAAAGAATGACTGGAAGGTGGACTTCCAATAGGTATATGACCTCAGCCATAAACAGCATGAAGGAATGGCAGGCCGTCATTTTGCCTTACTAGAAACCTGATGCAGCAACAAGTAAAGGACATCACATCAGCTGCACCAATATGCAACTCATCCCAGCTACTGGGGTCATTCTGTCATTTCCTGGACCTGTATTGTGTGGAAAACAATGGTTCAAGAAGGCCCTTTACCTCAAAAACCTGAAACTAGTACCTTTTTGGAGAAGCCTTTTTTAAGACGACTAAAGAGAGTGCGTTTAACGATTAAGTGTGTGCGAGTTTGTGCCGTGAATTTTAGAATTCTAAAGGATGTATGAAGCAAAAGTTATGGTCCAGCGCGACCTACCGTGAACAAAACGAAGTACTTTTGATTGGCTTCGCCCACGCAGTTATTGATCCAAGGGCAATGATGGTCCATTTTTCGTACGCAACGGAAGCAAATCCTGTCAAAAGAAACCAAATAGTAAACTGGATGTCATTCATGAGGACCTGAAATCGCCATCTCCCTCCGACTATGAACAGTAAGGACCCCGCTTCAAGAATAAACCCGTTTCAATGTGGCCACTGGGGCCATACGTGCATAGCTAGTCAGTAAGTTAGGTTCTTCGGCAAACTGGAAACCATCTGCAATAAAAAGGGGTCGGCTAAATTCGCCCATTGACAATCTGCTAGCCGAAGCAGAGTGAACCAATCAAAGCAATATCCACTTCGTTCAGGATTCTAGAGTCTGTGTTATTGGAGTTACCTAAAGATACCAACTATCGACGACCAACCGTTCTCAAACACTTCTGAGAGAGGCCTGAGGTTAACCTAGCTGCACGAACAGAGATCACGCGCAAAGAAGTGATTGGAACGAATGAAATGTACACAAAACACGCCAATGCAGTCGGGCATGACGCTTTCCAAGTGACGGAGAACTACACCCAACAGTTGTCGAATGTTTCAACCAGAATTAATTTTTGCGACATGATTAGACACAATAAAGTCCAGTATGATGTGACAGAATATATTCTTTAGCAAGACTGCAGACAGAAACTGCCGACGGGATGTTCATTCTGAAGTATAGCCTATCTAGTAGATAACTTCGAAGCGTGCACGGAGACCAGAATCTCCAGGACACTGGAGAAGGTTCCATGCCCTTTTAGTACTAAAAAAAGGTGGGACTGTATCTGGAACGCGGTTGGCCTTCCAGTTGAATAAGTATTTTTCATATGTGATAGTCCAGAGAACTTTGCAAATTCGGTAGAAAAAATCCTAGTGTTTAAACACTCTATTGACCAGCAGCACCAGAAGTTACGTTGGTTAGGACATGTGTTACGTATGCCGAACCATCGTTTGCCGAAGAGAGTGCTGTGTTCCACGCCCAACCCAGAGTGGCGTAAACAGAGAGGTGGCCAACCATTGACTTGGCAGAGGAGTATGAAGGAGATCACGAAACGCTTGGGTGCTGTCGGTGCTACTCGCCTTCCAGGATGGGTACCGCGTGATCCTCACTGCCTGGTTGGAGACACTACAAGATATGGCTGCCAACCGATGTCAGTAGCGTTCTTGTTGTCAGTTTCTATCCAGATTGCCTGAGTGAGTGTCTGGAGGTGTAGGCACCTCGGAATGATTGTGTTAAGCTAGCACTACGTCCCTTCCCCGTCCACCTTTATTATTTTCTTTACAATAAGGCTATCAAATAAATCATGGTTGTACGGCAGTGAAGCATCTTAGTGCTGTCGATCTGCATCCAAAAGCAATACAGAGCCAGTACTGTGACGGTACAGCTTCGAAAATGCCGAAACGGAACCCTCGTCAACAGTGGATTCGTGAGCAATGAAGTGATGCGAGTCTGTTTTGACCCTAGGCTTGACGTGGGATGGAGTCTGACACGACAAGAGGACGATTGTCCCCAAACTTTGAGAATTTAGTGAGAAACTTCCAGGGCAGAAGGACTATTACGATCAAATTCAGGAAACGTAACACTCCTACAACAACCGCCACCTTCATCTACCCACTTCATTCCTCCAGTTTTTTGGTATGTGAGTCAGTTAACATTAAAAATCCTGAGCTGTGTTCTGGGACTTGGAATTTCCAATAAACATTCGCAACTTCTGCCAAAAGTTGGGTCCATGACTTTGCTTTACACTTGCACTCCACGATTCATCTCAATCGGTTGAACAGCTTGTGATGCGTGAAGCAGTACCATCGTCACATCACACAACTCCTAACCCGACTCGGAGGGGGGATAGGCTATAGAAGCCACCAAGCCAGAGGGACGACAATCAGTTAATTTGCCAAGGCCTGACTAAAGCTTGTTCACTACGCTCCGGCACCTGCAGGACTCGTCTTGCGTTCGACCTGCAACAGACAGCACGGTTCACGTTAGTCTACTATAGTGAGTCATAGACAATGGGCATGCGATACCAGATGCGATGAATTCGTCTGGTGAGGGCGTCTGCAAGTGAAGACAATCTATTGTGAGATATCAAGTATTTGGACCGGTGGCATGACGACCCCAATGCGCCTCAGGCATCAGTGAACCGGCTCGTCAAGTGAGGAAATCCAAAACATTTCTGGTGAAAATGCTGGCGATCCGAAAGCGCATGCGTATGTATTACGTGAAACTGTCCCACGTTCGGACAACTGAGGGTGGTTTTCGTTGAAAAACGAACAACTGGCATTAAAACACTGCCAATGTGTCTAGTCAGACTGGTCGATTTACCGTCATTTGTGATGTGATCAGTGTGAAAATCATGCGTCGCCCGTTTGTGTGTGTTGCGCAGTGTGCATATCTGACACCCCGGGGCTGAACTGTTGTGTCATGTGTGGCTTGTCGCACTTCGTTGCCTATGTAAGATCAAGGCAGCCGCCGCGTGATCGCCAGCAATTTCACTGTCCCGGTGGGCGACGCATACCCAACCCCGACGATACATGGGATGCCCGAGAAGAATATTTTCGAATACGTCCATGTTAGGAAAAAATAACCCATTGGAATGCGCACCCCGTTGGACGCATCCCATGCCATTTGGTGCCATCAGTGACAACATTTTACACACTTTTAGATTAGATTACTAGTGAATTTTTGCAACTGTTAGTAGGTGAATTAATAATATTCATAGGACTAAGATATGCACGTGAACGGTACGCGAAGCATTCCACATTTCGGTGGACTGCCCAAATGCGCTATCGTTCAGTCCATATCAGTAAACGAAGTTGGTAGCACAATCGGTCACATGACAAATGGGCGGACCCGTTTCCGGCTGTTACCTGGGGCCACTTCGCGCTGCAACACCACGATTCCCATTGTAAAGTCAGGTGAATTGACGACCTGTAGCATAGACCAGGTACCCAGGTAAATGACACTTGTACGAGAATTCAAGGGTAAGTAGGAAGGGGTCAGTTGGATAACGCATTCAGTACGTTCGAAGGGGAAGAGACGGGGTGTTTTGGGTCCGAATTTTCCACAACCTGGACAGTGACACCTCGCAGGACAATTGCGCGACTCAGCAAATGTTTTACCATAAATTCTACGGCAATATAAGTACGACAAACTAACATTTGATCAGCATTGGTACTGATATAAAGACAGAACCGAAGCTGCCTACATAAACTGATGTTTGTGGAGTCATGTGTACGCAGTTAATAAAAAACGAAATTTAGGGACAAATGTTTCATTTCCCCGATCCTGTGGTGGTTGTCCCAAAAATGGAATGTGACAGAATCTACCAAACAAGTTTTCTTTCAGTTTTCTTTCTTTCTTTCGGTTCCACCGAAACGAAAACAAAATGCTGTTGAAACAATTTACCCTCGTATATGTTTCACTTTTTGAACAACAACGAGGCAGGGAACCGAACTGAGAGGAGTGGAATGGCAGAAAGACGATATCGTCACGGTGAATTTGTCAGGACGCGCCCAGACAGGAAAAAAAGCACATGCGCAGAGAGTGACGCATCCCCAAGGTCACCATCGGTACGACCCGTCCGGAAAGTAGGTGAGTTGGCGGCTCTCACGAAACACGGCTTATCAACATACGACCAGCGCAGTTGGCCTGGAACACCACCATTGGCTGTACCGAACGAACAAGTGAACGACCATATTTGGCCATTTGGTCATCCTATATATTTACGCAGACGCTCTGTGTGTTTTGCCCTGGCAATACAGCCGTGTCCCCAGCTCGCTGTCTTCCCCCTATCGCGTAGTCTGGCAGGCTCAGCGCAGGCGTAACCAGTAGACGACCACCCAGGATACAACAGAATTCGATATGTCAATAAGTTTTAACATTTGGAAGGCGTTCTACGGGATGGAATTATAACCATTTCCAGCAGAGTCTGGCGCCTTCATATTGGGCAAAACAAAGTTACGCACAAACCAGACATCATCTGATTGATAACCACTTTTCCAAATTCGATTCGGACGTCAAACTAGACTAGAGAGTCTTAATGCGTGAATTTATCGCTCGAATAAACTGCCCCGGGAATTGATATCGGGTGGTGCGGTGATGAAACTTTACTAAAACTACCGAATCGTGAGACTAAAATGCACGAGGATGGCAGAGGTGGAGTGGGGTTAACGAATCTTAGGACTACGCAGAAAACTTTTTTTAAACTAACTGCTGGGTTGGTGAACCACCGGAACAGACGATTTAACAGTAAGCTCTCACACGAAAAAAAAACGGATCGAACTGGTTCGCTAGCTTTCTTCCTCTTTCAGTTGGGACGCGACTGGAGATCACGTAGGACGGAACACACTCGACTGATAGGTGAAAATTATCGACCCCTCCAAAGTTGCAGTGTCTGGCCAGCCACATCATTCAGGGTAGACATCATAAACCCAGACCTGAGTGGTGACAAATTAAACCTTAACTGTCACTTTCGCAAAGGGTACACATCGGAGTCCACTAAACTAATTGACAGAAGTGCATGAGAGAAACCAGACCTGCGAAAGTAGCGCTGTTTATTCCATCGATGTGGGGGAGGGAACTTCGAGAAGCAATTGACTAAAGTGAGAAGTGGGAACGGATTGAAAATGACAAAACCACAGCCTTGTTAAGATTACGCCTGAGGCTGGTACCGGAAGACGATGGGTCTGTGAGTACCTGGATCTTCTAAAAGTATTCTAATGGTCATTTGCTCATGATGAAGCAACTGCATTCGTTGTGAGAATTCTTCAGCTGCAAGCATAAGACCGTCTGGTTGTTTGAAGAGCAAAAGCAACTTCAATCTTGTACTCTCATATAACCGGCCGACCCGTCAAAGGTAAGCAAGTGGCCACAGGTAGCAAAGGAAAGAACCTGTGCGTCGTTGGCGCTCGACGACAGTTTAGGTGTGTGGAGTACGCTGAGGCTACAAACCAAAGCTTACGTGAGGCAGAAATACCTAACGAATTTGTTGTGGGTGAAGTCAATAGGCTGAATCTCCTGTGCGTAGCATATTGTTGGGTTAAGATTGGGAGATTTCCAACTAACATCGAGCGAGACAAATGAATCTAGCAGGAATATGTGACTAAGGTACGTCGCTATGCAGAGCGAACTCTGATAAGTACGCCTTCTGGTATTGCGGATACGCTTTCGGAACTTTAGTGCCCGTAACCAAACGTGCAACATGTCTGAATGTATGTAACTACAATTACACATAATCGAAGAGTGCCGTTAAGTTGGTTTGAGGCACCAGTGTGCCTGAAACAGTACACGTTGTTCTGCATGACAAGCTTGCAGAAGTCATTCAGTGGGTGGGTGAGTTTCACAGGGTATTTGATCATATCTTTTCTAATTGGCTCGCTAACGTGTCACTAAAGTTCAAGTGCGCATGGGTGTTGAGTAACCTACCTGCGTTATTCAGCAACTCGTGAACTATCTACTGAAAACGTGGAAGCAATAGCTGAATCGTTTAAAATCTAGTCACTTTTTGTTTTAGGAACAGCCTCAAACAGCTGGAGTCCGTGAAGGGGCAGTGGATTTGACTGTTCCAAAACCGGTTATTGCTAACGAATGGCTTCCACATAGACCAGCGAACCCAAATGTCACTCATGAAATCGAAATTCCCAAAAGGGGTGATTGACAAACTTAGCCAAGTGGCTGAAATCATTGTCAGGTGCTCAATAATCGATCAGGTTTGTCGGTTGTTTAATTGCCGATTACTTATGGCAATTGAGGGGCAAGGTTAGGTGCTTTGCCATCTATTCGGATCCTGGCTAGTAGACCGGTTTGGTCACGGACTCGTACTAGTTACGCGGAACACCCTATGCAGAAAAAGGCTTTTAAAGACTAGGAATCGATAAAGTGGTCGTTGTCTTTTTTCACAAAGGAAACTATGCGCAAGGTTGCTGAAAATTCTTCGACAGCCCATGACCGGTTTCGCCCTTCTTGAGGCTCATCAGGTAGGCACAGTCCCCAAGTTTTCGTCAACCTTGTTCGCTGAGCTGGGCAATTTGAGTGCAAACGTTTCATCACCAGTACGTTATTGGGGAGCGTGGTAGTGGTGCGTAGCGGTGGGGTAGTGGTTGCCCAACTCAGCGAACAGGGGAACGACCATCTACCCTACCTGAGCTACCAACATTTTCCTCCTTAGAAAATCGACAAAGTGTTATCAACGTCCATCGACCAAGGTTCGCCTCAAGTAGGAAATTTGATCAATGGTAGTGCCGTCCCCATGAGCTGTCTTAAGGTTAAGTTGGTTTGAGGCACCAGTGTGCCTGAAACAGTACACGTTGTTCTGCATGACAAGCTTGCAGAAGTCATTCAGTGGGTGGGTGAGTTTCACAGGGTATTTGATCATATCTTTTCTAATTGGCTCGCTAACGTGTCACTAAAGTTCAAGTGCGCATGGATGTTGAGTAACCTACCTGCGTTATTCAGCAACTCGTGAACTATCTACTGAAAACGTGGAAGCAATAGCTGAATCGTTTAAAATCTAGTCACTTTTTGTTTTAGGAACAGCCTCAAACAGCTGGAGTCCGTGAAGGGGCAGTGGATTTGACTGTTCCAAAACCGGTTATTGCTAACGAATGGCTTCCACATAGACCAGCGAACCCAAATGTCACTCATGAAATCGAAATTCCCAAAAGGGGTGATTGACAAACTTAGCCAAGTGGCTGAAATCATTGTCAGGTGCTCAATAATCGATCAGGTTTGTCGGTTGTTTAATTGCCGATTACTTATGGCAATTGAGGGGCAAGGTTAGGTGCTTTGCCATCTATTCGGATCCTGGCTAGTAGACCGGTTTGGTCACGGACTCGTACTAGTTACGCGGAACACCCTATGCAGAAAAAGGCTTTTAAAGACTAGGAATCGATAAAGTGGTCGTTGTCTTTTTTCACAAAGGAAACTATGCGCAAGGTTGCTGAAAATTCTTCGACAGCCCATGACCGGTTTCGCCCTTCTTGAGGCTCATCAGGTAGGCACAGTCCCCAAGTTTTCGTCAACCTTGTTCGCTGAGCTGGGCAATTTGAGTGCAAACGTTTCATCACCAGTACGTTATTGGGGAGCGTGGTAGTGGTGCGTAGCGGTGGGGTAGTGGTTGCCCAACTCAGCGAACAGGGGAACGACCATCTACCCTACCTGAGCTACCAACATTTTCCTCCTTAGAAAATCGACAAAGTGTTATCAACGTCCATCGACCAAGGTTCGCCTCAAGTAGGAAATTTGATCAATGGTAGTGCCGTCCCCATGAGCTGTCTTAAGATTGAAAGAGGTTCGACTGAAACACCTGGCAAACTATCCGATGTAAATCCTCAATCGAATTCAACTCATACGGTACAGCGGAGGTCGATGAAATGGAAGAGCACGTTAGCGCCCAATATCTTCAACTTAAACCACAACAGTTGTAGAACAGTGAGTACATCAGGATTCCCAACACAAAAGCCATTTTCATTTCTGTGAAAGCAGAATTTTTCCGAAATTTTGAAGCTTCGTTTAGAAATACCAAACTGGATGTTAGATATCCTCTGATCTTAGGATATTCTCATCATCATCATCGACAACATCACGTCAGTGTTCAACACCGATGCTTCACTGCCGTACAACTATGATTTATTTGAAAGCCTTATTGTAAAGAGTATAAAGGTGGACGGGGAAGGGACGTAGTGCTAGCTTAACACAATCATTCCGGGGTGCCTATACCTCCAGACATTCACTCAGGCAATCTGGATGGAAACTGACAACAAGAACGCCATACGATATGGAAAACAAGTTCCAGCATAATTATGCGGTCTTCCGTTGCGATGAGGTATTCACCACATCCACCAACAATTGCAAACACCATTTTTACTTGCTGAGTTGTCCAGTTGTATCGTCACTTGACAGCAGTTGGTAAATCTGTTGCAATGTGCAATTTAAGCGTACCGTACAAACTTGAAACGCTGAATAAAGCGCACAAATTCATGCTCATCTTCAATTGGATTAATAACCAGCACGAATATCACATGACCGACGCATCAAAACTTCCTGTGGGAAACTGAACGAGGAATTCCTGCATCAACTGATCGCAACGTTGATTCAATTGTGACCCACGTTTCGGACCAAATCCCACCAAGTGCTAACTCTACAACGAGGCATATATTCCTCCATTTGCTACTGGTCATAGATGCTGCCACTTGCGTGTCTTTGATGAACCAATCCGTTATATGAGAGCACGAGGTTGAAACTGCATCTGTACATTCATGTTCTGCTTTTAGCTGAAGATTTCTCACGAGTGCAGTTGCTTAATCGTAAGCAAACGATCATCGAAATACCTTTGCAAGATCGGGGTCCTCACAGAACCATCGTAATGTGCTACCATTCTCAGGCATAATATTAACAAGGTTACATTACCTTGGGTCAGCGACGGGGCTATATATCATCACCAGCGATCAGATGAACCTCTACATCGATGGACTTTAACCGGCCATTTCAAGTTTCTCAGAGAGACATGTTGTAAACGACACTCAATCTTAGCGAAATACACTCATTTGCAAACTAGTTTGGTTTTTCGAGAGACTCACCTGAAACCCAGCTGAATCTCCCGTTTGTGATGTTTCCAGGCAACTGAATGTGCTGCACCAGGACACCTAATGTTTCAGTCACTAAGATATTTGAGATATCGCAATACACGTATATTTGTAATGCAATTTGGTTTCAAGTAGAACATAAGGTCGACGGAAACTCGGGGACTGAGCCTGCCTGATGAGCCCCAAGAAGAGCGAAACCAGTCGTGGGCTGTCGACGAATTTTCAGCAACCTTATGAGTAGTGCATTACAAAGACACTCAATCCTCTTCACAGGACAGTGCTTCAGTGCGCGGCTTCGAGATGACCAGTGGTGTGGCCAATCTTTCTTATCAATGCCGACAGGTAGACTGTAATGCATTCACGACCGGACAAAACGCTACACTTGCCATGACAATGATGCCGTGTACCAGTCGGTTGCGTGGACCAGTGTATAGCAAACCAGTTAGCCAACGCGCACAGCATTTGTATTCTTGAGTGTGTGTTCTTGGTACATGTTACCAAAGCTACCCTGTGACTAAATCAGAAAAGCTAAAAGATGGGGTTTTTGTTAGCCTCCAGAGCTTTTGAGGGAAGAGGTGTGGATGGAAGTATTCTACTGGATGGGATATGGATTGCTTTTCTAGAGATCATAAGAATGCACAGCGGTTCTGGAAATTATTCCGGGGCCACCTATGACAATTATGATCAGTTTCAGTGGACTGATAAACAGGATAATGATACAGAGATTTTGTCATAATGGATGTTTGAGGGCCCAGTTGTAACAAACTTTGTGACCGAAAACTTGTGTATAGAGGGAAGATAGGTTACAGCGCGATTTGGCGCAGCGGACAAGCCCTATGGTGATCTCAACCTTGGGAATTCCGCTAACGACGGTGAAAGAAACGCACGTATGTTCATCTTATGGTGTGGCATCAAGACACGCCCCTAATGCATCACTGCAAGGTTCGGTACGTTCAGCGGCCCGTTCGGAAGGATAGTGAATCAAATGCAGGAAAAAACGAATGGCGAATAAGGCAGAAAAAACGACCTACCTACAATGATGTGCCCGTGGTGGCTTAATGCAAAGACATTTTGGGCAACGTATGATGGGCGGCCGAGGATCCCCGTAAACTTCGCACAGGAAGATTCCAGCTTCTCTCGTGGCATTGCCAATCGGAACAGTACCCTGAAAAAAGGCACAGAAAACATGAACGGACAACTGACAGAAACCCTATTTATTGAAATAATTTCGTCAATTCTGGAGAAACGTGCTAGAACTGTCGCCATAGATGAATTTGAAAACTAAAACACAAGTCAGGCGGGAATTTTTTTAACTCTATGAGTGTAGCTTTTTATCACACTCTTGCATATCTTGTGCCACGCAGTACACAGCGGATGAGACAACGAAACGCACACAAAATCTATACGTGCGAATTTACGCCATCAACCGCCCAAAACAGATGCATAGTGGATTTTCTCAACGCAAAGTAAGTGGCAGTCTACCAGAAAGTGCAAAACAACAAACAGATCCATCTTTATTGAATAAATCATGACATTTACTGGTGATGGTGGAATACAAAATAGTGCACCACATTCTTTCCTTCCATCCAGATAGTACGAGTTGCGAATCTAAAGCAATTGAACAATGGTAACATGCTTCAGACAGCTGAGCTGAAATACTGGGAGAAGTACTGTCCTTTCAATGAAACAGCTTCAACAAAAACAGATTTCTCCACAACGAAGGAGGTTTTCATGAGGGAGGTGTGACTGCGACTGACCTTGTCAAACGCTTCATGAACCACAGCGTTGGTATTTTGATTATATCTGTGTTTGAAGCGGCCTTTTTGGGTACATAATAGAAAGTGGAGCTTTTTGAGTGAAAAGGGGAGCAACCAAACAGCAGCCAGCCCCCGTACTACGGGGATAAAGCTGAGTTATTCTGTGTAATGGGAGCCTGAACGCAGCAAAGCGTTTCCTCCAGGTTACCAACATGCCCATATTTGTGGGCATTTTTTTATTTTTCAAGAAGGAAGGATGGGTAATAAAAGATCGACCATAAAGACTACACTAGGATCATCCAAAGGCTGGTCGTGACCACCGGCTATACGATTGAAGTACTTCTATAACTGGAGCTCAGTTTTTCTCAAAAGGGTTCTGCCGTGAGCAGTCGCATTGGTAGTCAGACAGTTATGCTTCACTCCATCCGCTCTTGGACTATGCAAGCCTCCTATAGCCAAATGGGCCACACTACTGAGTCATCGGAGAGTAACATCTGCTCATGCAGCTTAGGAACAGCGATTTCTTTACTCCATTCAACAACCCAAACCGTTATTCTCACGCATGCCAATGAACTCCGTCTGTATGTGGTTCTATAAACCTAGCGTTGTGTCCTAGATCTCAGGCGAGGAAAATAAGACCTAAACACGCGCTACGAACACCAAGGACTCTGTTTCGCGTAGCAGCGCCTGATGTCCATATGCTTTTTCAGATAGATCAAAGAACCTCCTCTGCACATAAACTTTCCTCCTTAAAAATCAACGAATGCTTTCTCCGAAACACGTATACAAGACCCTAACCAAAGTAGAGCGTCCAAACGTGGTCATAGGCAGTTCAGAATCTAAAATAGAATGGCCCCATCGTTGGACAGTTTACGTCCCGAAAAACAACACTGAGGCTCAATGCAAGTTGGATCTCACAGTGGTCGACCAGGGTGAAGAAGGTGGCCCCACCGGGATGACGATACGATCCAGCGAGAATATCTTTCAAACAACGCCTAACCCGCAGTTTCAGGACTAACCAGGAGAAGTGGTTGTTCGATTAAAGCCCCTGAAATGGCGGCCGCGGCGATCGGAAATATCCGAGCTCTCTTCCAACTTATCCGTAACACAGACCAAGATAGCTGCCGGTCAGTGAACTCACTACAAAGGACTGCTTAAATGTCCACTTCATGTCACATCGCCTGCTTCGGTGGGCGGCATATTTGATGAACAATTTAGCTAATGAGGTACCAACGCACCAACAGCTTCACACTGGGATGTGAACTACTGAGTCGAAACAGAAAAATAGGCCAAAAACGAAATGGAACTTTTGAAGTTGACTCGGCTGTGGTCCGTATGATAGGTGATTGATTACCTCGAATGAGACATCAAAGAGAGGATACCAGATAACCTGAAGGAGGAGGAGCATGGAAGACATCATAAGTGGGGATCGAAGACCCATCACATCACTGGCGATGTTTTGTCTATTTTCTTGTTTCTAATCACCAACCGGTCGTTTTCTCTAAAGAAGTTTCCATGTAATCCGTCTGCCTCACACTCCGCTCCTATAAACTGCGGTTACCTGAACCACCATATATAAGCACACGGTTCACGACTATCAAACTGGTGGAATGAAATGAGCTTGGTATGGGCGCTTGTGCTGACGACGAACAGATGACTTTCAGCACACAGCTGAAGCAATCGCTCCCCAGTATCCGTACGATGTGCATCAACTCTGAATCTATCACTCAGATGTGCTTCTTCCGTACTTGGTCATCCAACTTGGGTATTCAAATCAGCCGCGAGGATGAGAATATCCGTTCTTCTTGCTGACTGGAGCAGTAATGATAGATATCAAAACAACCATCCTTTCTCAGCTTCAGAACCGCTGTCTGACAGGCCCAAATGGCCCTGAAGTAAGACGGTCACATTGCCGAACATTGAAATAGACAAACATTCTAAGTACGATCACAGCCTACTAAAGTATTGGTACTCGAATGATGAGATATCAACCATTAACAGAAGAGTTCCGTGAAGCTAACGACCAAATAACAGGGGGAGTGGTTGCAGCCCAGTTCTATGCAACTCACCGTCTGTTGTTACTGGGTTATCACGATGGGATAAGTCTTGGCAATACATGGATTCTCACACAGATCTGCGTAAAATGATATCCGGTATAACATCCTCCCCCGAATTGTGTCCCCCTCTAAGGTAAACAAATATCAGGGCGGAAAGAAAAATGTTCCCATATGTGAAGATTTTTCTTCGATGGGAAATCACTGCACATTTATCAGTACGTAAGTGAGAATACCAGACTTTAGGATCTATGACAGAAAGAAAAAAACCACTCAGTAGGTGGCCTGTAGTCTTGACGCGTGGCAAATGAATGATCATGGTATCAGGTTGCAAACACACGGCGGATCTTCAGTACGGATCACTTGACGAATGACAGATAAAATATGCAACGGGCCAAAAAGTTATCATGAATCGTGGTAGATAAGCCTGGATCAATGAGGATTCTGTGATGGATACTGAATCAGCAAGTTGTTGTTGCATAGCGGCCTATGGCATGCACTGTTGTTGAGATGGACAGTTTATGGGCTGCCAGGCACTAAAGTGCGCCAAACACCAATTCGTAAAGTTGTGCTACTTCTCTCAAGATCAGTAGTTTGAAATAAAAGAGCAAAACGATGGCCCTAGGATTTTCAGAGGTCGCAAGACTACGGAACCACCGAGTGCATAGACGTAGCCTTCTTAACGGCCTGGTCATATTCCCTCATCCCCATGGACCAGGAAATACCCTAGACTGATTAATACTCCGGTTGTAGAAAAACTGAGCACGTTCGAAAGCCCGGTCTTCGAAAACAAAGGCTATGCTGACCAATCCACAGCAGGACCTGCGAAGTCAGAAGGCTATGAATAGACGAAGTATTCCAAATAAAGGGGGTACGGATAACTTGTCTGGACGGTTGGTACTGAGCATCCTACCCTAAAACGATCCACGAACTTAATTTACTTGATTCTGCTATTGATTTCGGGGAACTTGACAACGTGTCGGAGTACGAGAATGATGAATTGATCCCGAAAACATGTGTTCTAGACAAAAAGATATGTAAGAAAGACGGGTTGATTAAGCTTTTTTCAGCTCGGTCCCAATGTTTTTGGCATGGTCGGATATAAAGTTGTCATGGTCATCTTACTCCACAGTTCCAGGTAACACTACTGGGGCCCTTTTCAGATTGTCCGTATGCATAATAAGATAATCGCCAAACCTGAATGTCGATTCAATTTATCTTTTAGCGACAGTTGACGAAAGGTCAGCAAAACCGAATGGGGCAGGAAAGTACGGCTGTGGGAACCAGGAACCAACAAAGTGTATGTCTCAAATCACACACAGACCATACACAAAAGATACAAAAGAGCAATCATCCACAGTGACCGTTTTTGGTCAACTTCATCGTCTTTGTTGTTACACCGAAAAAGACTTTCCTACTTTCTGGTATCAAAACTGTACCACAGTGTATGCTATGCTGTTTCTGCCTGGAAGCTAACGAATGAATATTAGTAACATTTCAAGATACATCCAAATGATACTCCCTGCAACGACCGTTTGCGACCGATTCCCCAAACGGACTCAGACGGCGTTTGAGTCGATTGAGTGCAGTGATTAGAGCATAAACATTAAATGATTTTCATAAAGGAAACTACTCACAAGGTTGCTGAAAACTCTTCGACAGCCCACGACCGGTTTCGCCCTTCTTGGGGCTCATCAGGTAGGCGCGGTCTCCGAGTTTCCGTCAACCTTATGTTCTACTTGAACCTAGATTGGACTGTTTTCGAGAAATAAACTCATTTTCAAATGAGTCAAGTCTCTCGTGAAAACCGAACTGATTTGCAGATGAGTGTATTCCTCAATAAAAGACTTTCGTTCACGATCGTCTCAAAGTAGACAGAGGGGATACTCTCGAATCAAAAACAGTAACACAAGTTTTTACACTTTGACTGGCGAAGCGACTACAGTACGGAACATATCCTCTGGACATTGGTTTGCGAATATGGACGTCAATAATAGAAACATTTTTAACCGCAGTGTCAAACCTTTTGGCGATTTCTCGGGATAATAGTTCTGGCGCTGGAATCGGTTAAACAAAACAATGGCTGTTATGTTTCGGAAACAGAGTCTTGTAGATTCGTTGCTTCAAAGCGGGTTACATGGATCCGTAAATTAGAAAACACGGAAACGGATGACTGGTTGTTATGAAACCCAAGTCGCATCTAAATGAGTGCTTCGAGGTGGTCTAGTGGGTCATCGACTCGTCATATGACCAAGGCAGATCCAGAACTCGTACGAGCTGTTTTGATAGCATGGCACCAGATTTCTTGATCCTATTGCGACTGCTTCAGGATCAATACTGGCACCCTATTAAGT